CTCCGGTCGGTGGTCACTGGTCGCGTTCAATCGCCCAGGTCCGCCGGAACTCATTTTATCCACATCGTATTTCGTTTTCGTGGCACAAATTTTTTTGTAATCAAGTATTCCAATTTTTCTTAATAAATTTGTCTCTTGAATTTAAAGGTAGTTCAAGTTTAGTGCTCAAATTTTCAATTTCAATAAAAAACTTTGATCATTGATATTATATTATTATGTGCTTAAAACAATTTCCAATATAATTTTAAAAACTAATTATTGCTTATAAATTTTTTATATAATTTGATTTATGAAAAACTATTCCATTGGTATTTGAGTAAATAGTACATCTTTTGAACAAGTTAACAAAAATAATAAAATAAAAATCATCATTACTTTCTTCTATTGAAATTTTTTTTAAATTTATTTTTGATATTTAAACATTTTATTAAAACCAAATTAGCAATCAAGATAGTTAGATACTTTAGATGTTTATATACATTTAATAGACAGAGTGATCTATCCAATTCAAATTAGTTTGATAAATAATTTTTTTATTTCAATTTGTTTTAAGTTTATTTTTAATATACGGACATAGAATTTTAGAACCAGTAATACATAAATCTAACATAAGTATTACATATTATTACAAAGGTATTACATTTTACAATCTATATGACAATTATTTTTATACTTGATAATCTATAATTTAAAATTGTATAACAATAAAATGTATGTTATGTTTGTTTAATATACCTACTTAGTATCATTGAGTAGGTATCTATATACGAGTATATACATTATACTATAGGTCTATATATAATCAATGATAATATTCATGTTTTCTTCAAATATTAACTTAAGGTCTATGGCGCGTTTTAATTATGATCTAGGTCTAACAATAATTTAAAGTAATTATTTGTTATTGCTCCGCCGTCAAAAAAGGTAGTCATGCTGTTAAGTACTCGGCAACTTAAAGTGACTTAAGTCAGTAGCGTAGCCAAGATTTTAAAATGAGGAATTTAGTCAAATATAGCTTTAATAATTAGCTTAAATGTAAAATTCGATATTTTTTTTATATTTCTATAAAGTATATGTCATCATGGGCGCCCATAGGTAATATTTTAGAGGGGGTCAAAATGAAAAAATTTTCAAATGTAAGATAATAAAGATTTAATGTTATTTTTCACATATAAATGTATACACTATACATGCATGTTATATTTTTATTTGTATATATATATATAGTGTATTAATATAATAATTGCCATACGAATAAATAAATAAATATATAATAATTGTCATATGAATAAATAAATAAATAATAATTTTAATAAGTATATAAAAAAAATAGAAATTAAATAATATAATTAAGTATATTATTCGGTATCAGTAAATAAGAACTGTAAATTTCTTTGTTTTATTCCAAACATATTAATGACATCCTGAATAAAAGTATCCTTGTTTGCGTTAGGTTAAAATATTTGTAGTACCTATATTGTGATCTTTATAGATTTACCACAAATTATCTGCGATAAATTATTTTACGTATAGGTTATACAGACTACAGAATACGACCTATCTATGATGTTAATATACGATAACAATGAGTATATTTTTATATTTATTTCATATCTTAAAAGTGATTTCAACAAATAATTTGCCTCGGTAATAAGGTAATATTGTGGTAATATTTTTTCCAGGGGGGGCAAGTGCCCTGTCTTGCCCCCCCCCTCCAATGGGCGCCCATGTATGTCATATGATATTGTGATTTATACTTATGTAAAAATGATAAATACTTCATAAAATATTTTAAATTGTATTTTATCGTATTTTAATTATGTTAGTATGCTGCCTAGTTACTATGATTATGTAGTATATTGTATGCAGATATTTGTAATTTGAAATACATACCTGTCCTACAAATGTTACTAGCTAATTAGTTTATTTCAAAATATTGTTAGAAATTAATTTCAATGAATCATTTCCCGCAATATTTAATACCTACTGGCATTCAATTTTTACAGCAAAAATTATCGTTAGAATAAAATGTGTGAAATTTAATAATATTTAGAAAACTATCTTACTTTTTTTTGTGTAATTATTAAATATTAATTACTTATTAATTTTTTGTACTATTATACTGTCTTTAATAATTCTAAACAGTTTATTATTATTATTTACCATTATTTGAAAGTACGAATACGGAATAATACAATAATTTATCGACTGTAGTTATTTTCCTTCAAAAATAAAACATATACCTTGACTATTTTTCTATTATAAGAATATAACACCTTAAACAAAAAAGAAAAAACCCTCAACAGCCGCATTCACCTACTTCATCCGATTTTAAAGTCAAAACTACCAGTGCACACCAAACTTATAGTATAAATCTCTCTTGCGTCCAATATAGGCATATATGCAATCCAAATTTGGGACTGTGCTAAGCCGTCCCAAATTTGCATGATACAAGCATTCCAGTCCATTACCCTACGTATGATAACGTCTGCTCCATGGTTTGTTTCCAACTCTTCACTACACTCTGACCTAAGAATCGATTCAGTTGACCAATTAGCCACCAAACATTACAGATCCTTCTACTTCAAATTACCTTCCCAGTCTAAGTAACCCGTTATAGTATCGCAAATCTCATCTACTCAACCCATAAATTCCATCCATAATCTCAAAAGAAAATATTGCAAAGATTTGTTAATCTAAAATAAATTTACGTTGGGTTCCATCATTAGTTGGCCTCCCTCTTTATATTATTCAAAGTTAAACATGTACATAAATTATCCAATTTACTTATTGTGATGTCAAACACAGATTATAAATATCGAATAAAAATAAAAAAAAATAAAAGAATATAAGAAATATATTTTTAAGTCATATATAAATAAAAGAAAAAATAAATATTTTCACCTATAAATTATAAACAATTATAATTTTTTTATAATCATAGAATATTTCAATTTACAACTAAAAATAACAAATACGCACGCACTTGGGCTTTCAAAAAGTTAAGAAGTAAAAATAACCAAACGCACTTGAGATATTCTCAAAATAGCTTCCTTCTATTTTTAATATAATTATGTTTTTTGCAAAAAATGAAATTTTTGGTTAGCCTTTCGTAAATGTAAATCTTTCAATAGAAAACTTTAAGCTATTGAGCATAGTGATGAATGTATTGATTTTACAATGTGTTATTTGTTGTTGTTTTTGTGGGTCTATCGTCATATTTCGGAAAGTAAAAGTGCTTCGTTTTTCAAATTTGGGTGTGGTTTTTGCCTTTTGGTTAGGTTAGGTCAGGTCAGTAGACTGGATCTAATGTATTAGGTACTTTAAAAAGTCAAAAATAATGTTATTTCAGTTTTTTTCTAAATAAACTGGAAAAACGAAATTCTTACGTTTTTAACAACATTGATTTCTTTATTTTGCAATAATTCAAAAACGAACAACAATAACTTAAAATTTTTAGAATGTATCTATATTATCATTTTTAATGTATGATAAAACCATAGATAATAATATAATTTAAGGGTAAAACTAGTTTATCCTGCACAGTGTTATTGGTGACAAATTAAATAATGACAACAGATTTACTTTGTCTTAAAAATTAAATACAATTATAATTATTGTATTAGATTTATTAGAGTATAATACATGTGTGCTAAACTTAAATAATATTCTAACAAAAAAATAATTTTTTCCATTTTTTAATAGTTTTGACGTCTTTAGGATTATTTTAAAGAAGGGTTTTGGAAAATCCTTTTTTAATGGGTTCTTATGTCATAAAATGAAACTACTAACCAAATTTCATAGCTTCAGCTGTTCCGGTTAGACAATGATAAATCAGTGAGTCGGTGCATATTATTTTATACTAATGGTTTTGAAAATATTTCAATTTTTTTGAGTTAAGTATAGGAAATTGAAATTTTTAATTTTGTTTTAGTCTGTTTTTTAATTATTGATAAAAAAAAAATTTAATTGGTTAAAAACTATGAAAAATTGAAGTTCCTTATAAGTTTTTCATTTAAAAATATAAAATACTTAAATCAAGATATTTTTTGTAAGAATTTAAATTTAGATTGTTGACAAAATCCTTAGTTTCGAAAATTTTCAAATTATTTTGTAGTTAAAAATTCTACCAAAAAGTTAAATTAATTTTTATGAGCGTTTGAATTTACATTTTTACAACATTGGTTATTTACTCATAAATGTAATAATCCAAAGTCACAAACATTTTGGAAATTATTTTGCAATTAAACTTTATAAATTTTTTAATTTATTTAGTTACAACTTGAGAATTTAATATAAAGTTTCTCATAAGTAGTTTATACTGGAACCAAAAACTTTAAAAAATATCTAAGCACAATAATATTTTTCTTAATCTATCAAAATAGTTTTTTAATTTAAATTACAAGTACATTAATTTACAAATATATGTTTATTTTAATTTGTTTAAGATTTATTAAATATTGATAAATATAAATATCAAACAATTCAAAATTAGACTGGTTATTTTAAATATACATACAATAATGTTATCTAGTCTGTAGTTTAAAATTAAGCCACCATGCGCGCGGGTTACAGTTAACTTGGTTACTTGGGAAAATGACTTCAGTTTCCGTGGTAAACATAAACCATTTAATTTTAAATTATTGATAAGAATAACTGTTTTTATATAAATTTTAATGTTAAATCATTATTCATCAATCATCATAGTCGTTATACTATTGAATATTGATTAACTAATAATTCCATTAAATATAAATTTAATTTTATGCTAAATTACTAAATAAATTCTATTTTTCATCTATTCTGTATTTCTGTGTTAGTAATAAGTATATTTTTTCGACGTTTTTAAGACTTCGAGTGGCGATTTTCGATTTGTATTAACTGTTAAATATTAATTATACATTTAATTCAAAATAGTATATAATAAACCTATTAATGTAGTATTAATTGTTAGATACATTTAATTTTTCTGCTTTTAAAAAATTATGATTATTGTGGGACATAGAATATTAAAAATTTGCATGATGTACATTTTTTAGTTTATCATTTATAATTTTATGTTGGTTTTATAAAATGGGTGTAAAAAATCTTTGGTCACTATTAACACCAGTGGCAGAAAAAATTCCTCTTTGGGAGTTGCATGGCAAGGCAATAGGCATTGATTTAAGTGGATGGGTCTGTGACAGTGAAAACTTCAATCAAAACAATAGCCAAAAAAACATGTACTTAAGGTAAGCCAAATAATATTACATATCATGTAAATTATAAATTTATACATATATGTGAAATAAACTTATCTGCGACATCTTTTTTTATATTTATCTATTATACCAAATCATATATTTTTTTAGGAACTTATTTTTTCGAACTTATAATTTGTTGCTAATTGGTGTCATACCTATATTTGTTTTGGATGGAGAAGCACCACTTCTGAAATATGGTGCAATAGAAAAACGTATTGGTGGAAATAAAGGATCAATGAAAACTCATATTGTTCGTAAACGACTAAATTCATTTCAAAAACAAGTAAGTATAGGTTTAATGCTTAAATGTAAAGAAAAAAAATGGTGAAGGAATTAATAGTCATATGAATTAATATTCTAATTTATAATGGTAATTTAACAGAGTAATGTTTAAATACTTTTATGATTAGAAGAACCCATACTAGTTATTAGTTATAGAATTCCTTAAGGAATAGGAATTTATAAACATTTTATTTAATATATTTATTATTTTTAGTGTGAATTGTTATTGAATATCATGGGAGTAACTTGTGTTTATAGTCCTGGAGAAGCAGAACAGCTATGTGCTATACTTAATAAAAATGGGGTTAGTATTATATAGTTAATAAATTAGTAATTTTTTAGCTCTTAAATAAATAACTTTAGTTATACGTTTATATGTATTACTCAAATAAAAAAATTAATGCTTTGTTTTTATTATCTATATACTATATTACTTATAGTAAAATAATTCTATTAATATATTCCAATATTCATTGTCACAGTCATTAAATAATACTATGAATCATCACTATAGTAATTATATCTACCATTATCTGCCACTTTAGTAATAACAGATTCACAAGCAATAAGTAATAAAGTAATACTTAGTAAAAATATTTTTGTATATAATGCTTATTATTTGTAAAATGTTTTTAGTTCTCTATAATATAGTCATTGATAAAATAATAAATTAACAAAAACCTAGATTCATAGAGAGTTTCGTAATATTTTTTAAGGTTCCCAATAATTTTAATTTAGTTTTTATAATTAATTTTTATAACTATCAATAACTAAATAATAATTTGAATTCAATAAAACTAACTAGTATTAATAACCTGTATTATTATAACCATCCCCTTTCACTTATTGTACATTTCTGCATTTGTCATTAGTTTTTACTTTTTACATTTATCTGTATTCTTATTGTTTATTCTTTGTTGTACTTTGTGAAAACTATGTTTTTTAAAATTAAATATATATATCAACTTAAAAATAATAATTCAATTTCAGGTTGTGAGTGGAATTGTGACTCAAGATAGTGATTGTTTTTTGTATGGTGCTCGTGTTGTATATAGAAATTTTAATACATCTGGAAATGGGTCTGTTGATGTTTATTGCATGGAATCAATTGAAAAAAAATTAAACATTGGACGTAACAAAATGATAGCTTTATCATTGCTATGTGGTTGTGATTATGATGAAAAAGGTGTTAAAGGTATCGGAAAAGAGATCGCAATTAAGTTTCTTCAATCATTAGATGATGATGTTGTCCTTGATCGGTAATTTTAAATTGTATTTTTTATTTTCATATTAGTATATTATTGATTTTTTTTAAGCTTGAGACAATGGAAAAATGATACTGTTTTAAATTCTGTTGTCATGGATATTAAGTCACAGACTAATGAAATAAAGCTAGAGTTGAAAATAAGAAATAAAGCTATGGAAAATAAAAACTTTCCATCTGAAGAAATTATTGAAGAATTCTTAAAAGAACCAAATTATCCGAAAGTTTCTGCAAAATGGATTCTGCCAGATATTAATGCTTTTATTGTAGGTAAAAATTATAAAACTAAAGAATTAAAAATAGCATACAGGTTTCATATTAAATAAAATATTTAAAATTAATATGTTATAGAATTTTGCATTAACCAAACTGTGTTGGGAAAGAGAGTACGCAATAAATAAATTTTTGCCATTACTTACTAGGTGGCATTTAATGTATGATGATAAGTTCCAAGCAAATATTTTAATGACTGAAATTATCAAAAAACGTGTTAATAAAGGTATAAAATGTTATGAAATAAAATGGAATAATTATGAAATAACAACTATTGAACCTCAAAAAGCTGTTCAGAGAAGGTATCTAAATGAAGTTTCAATTTTTGAAGACATGCATACTACGTCTTCTAAAAAAGTGAAGAAAAAAGGTAATTTATATTTATATTTGGTACTTAATGGTTATCGCAACTACCTGTACAATTTTTTAATAAACTGAATTCTGTAATCTGTACAAAATATTATAATAATAATAATAATAAAATAAAATAGGTCTGTTTAACATAATTTAATTTATAAAACACATAATATGGCATATGTCAATAAACAAAATGTCTGGAACACACATAATAAATTAAATAGTTATTGGTTTTTTTTTTTTTTTTTTTACATAATATTTTTAGACCATGTTTTTCCAGAGTTTAATTTTTATTTGTGATCCTCATACACGTCATTTTTATGTAATGTTATGATCCAATACTCTTGAGAAGTTATCGCAATTTTCCTTTTTATAGTAAATCATATTTATGTGAAAATCTAAGTTTCTGGGAATTGTTTTGTTAACGGTAGTTCATCACTTTAATATGTTTAATGCAAGTATTTTTGGGAAAACTATTTATATTATTTTCAATTTTGCCTTAAAATATAATTTTTATTATTAAATTGTCTTAAAGTAATGAAATGCAATATAAGTCTATAGTAGTCGCAGTAGTTAAATAAAGTTAACTGGATAATTGGATAAGTAATCACAATAATAAATGCTAAATACTTCTTATTTTTTCAAAATAAAAAATAATTGTATTTGAAATATTATCTCAAATTAAAATGTATTAAGTTTTTTTTGTCCTTTTTATTTTAATTTTCTTTATCTTAAACATTCTTTGATTACTAACTAGTATATAATAATATATGATTTCGTGTTAAAACTATTATGTCTTAACTAATATTCTTTTGATGCTTTATTATATACATATATTATACTGATGAAATATATTTTTAATATGCATTGTTTTCAGTTACGATCCATGACAGGAATCTATCTGATGTAACAAATAAATTGAGTTCAATTAACATTTCTACAAAACACGAAAAATCTAAAAAAATTATTGAAGCAAAGAATAAAATCAAAGGTCCCTTGGATCAATTTATAATTAAAGAAAAAATTAATGACGAGAGTTTAACATTATCTGACTTTGAGTGTGATTCTGTTGACTTGGATTTATCTAATATTATAAATGGAATAATAACTTAAATTTTATATTTATATCTTAAGAATTGTTTATGTATCATGAATGTTTTATTTTTTCATAATTTAAATGTTTTGTATTTTATTATTTTATTAAAATTTTAATTGTAATTATGTGTATACGATTTTATTCTAATCAAAAAGTTGATAGGAATTATTTTCAATTAATTATTTATAACTACAAAATATTTCAATATAAAAATATTAGATCACAATGATCTCATAATAAACACATTATGTGCTCATTAATATTGAAATTTTGTTGTTTATCATGCATATAGTACCTATACCACTATAGTCTATATTACGCAATATTCAATTTAAAAGAACATTGTATAATATTTTACCACCATTGGATTGACATTTCCGCCACCCTAGATTTTAAATTTCTATCGGCCCATTCATAGGTGGAGATTTGATTTTATTATAAAATATAAGTATATGATAACTGATAAGCAACGAAGACTTCAATTCTAATATACAATACCTAATTTGGGGATTTTTGAAAATGTATCCCCCCCCATCCTAAATTATCTATGTGCCCATTTAACAAAAATGTTATCTTCATATTGCATATAAAAAAAAAAAACCAAAAAAAAAAATATGAACACACATATTTTTAAAATGTCTAAATTTGGTTTATCATTAATAATTAATTTTAGAACTAGAAATAGGCAACAATATACATATATGCTAATACATTACATCTTTATTTTAAAATAAAAGCTTTTAGCTTAAGCTTAATCATGATCATGACTGGTCTAAATTTTATGCGGCTCACCAAGATTTTCTTGGTAGCTCGGCGGTTTAATCAGGGCCTGGTCATATGTTTGTGAGACTGAGACAACACAGATGGGTGTAACATTTACCTATACATTTTAAAGGTTACACACGTTATATAAAGATTAGAAAAACCATCAGCTAACTGACCTTTTAAATATTTATTTATTAAATACTTATCTTGCTTGTCAATAGATAATACTCCTTGATAAATAAAAATATTACAATTTGAAATAAAATATTGTTATGTCTTGATGTTAGTATGATAATATTATGATTATTGGCAAAATTAAAAATATATTCATTGCACTTTTCAGAATCTGAAACAGTTTAAATACTATTTTCATTTATGGGAATTATTTAGTGTTATAGAATAACTGTATTTTTGTAAGACATACACATTGAACACAGTTAATCCATTACCACAGAAATAGATGAAGTTTAAAATGTTTCTTAATAAAATCAAATATTACACAACTAAAAACATATAATTGAAGAGGATTAAAAATATCATGTCAAAATAAATATCAATGTCAGTAGGTAAATTTAATTATTATTTTATAAAAATAATTTGCGCAAGTCTTTCTAATCCTAAACTTAACTTAATAGCATAATATATAAACCATCAGAATTACATTATAATAAAAATGTATAAATGTTTACATATTATATACATATGCATATAAAATAACAAATATAATATTATACCAGTAAATACTTTGATAAATTAATAATAATAATAATTTAAAAAAATTACTAACAAAATAAACAATTGAAAATATATTTTATACAGTATATATAATTATTAAATATTAGATCATAGTTAATAATGTATACTATAACTATTATCTCAAATAAAATGTAACATGTTAGATTTATACTTGAATTTATAAAATAAATCATACATTAATTTCAAATGAAAATATAGTTTGTAATGAAGAAATTACCTAATTATTTTCTTTAAGTAAATAATATTAAAATTTAATTTTAATGATATTATAAATAATATATCTTGATTTTTATTAATAAATAAAAAATTACAAATAATTATGATCTATTTCACTTTTAAATTGGATTTGTGGTATATAACATGGGTATGAAAGCGAAATAATATTAATTTTTGTTTCAGTTCTATCCTAAATAAATATTCACAAATATAGATACTCAAATAAAAAATGTTAAGCTAAATTTCTCAAATAACAATTCAAATTCAAATTTGCTGGAATCAATTACTGAAGAGTGATACATGAATGTACATAATAATATGTACTATGAATATTTAAATACAAATCCAATTTAAATAAATAAATAAGCAATATATTAATATTTATAATTGTTTTGTACAGTTTAATTATTAGTTCTTTAAACTTATAAAGGTATTAATAATACTTTTAATTTATAGTATTTACAAACATAAGAATAGCTAAAATAAAACATTCCTATGACAATCATAATAAAGAATCATTTTTTGGATAATCAAACATAAATACATTTTAATATGTAATTATTTAAAAGAGTACACATGATTGATACATAAATACGCAGTTTTTATCTTTAACAAAGTTTTTAATTATTTATATTAGCTTGTTTTATTTAATGTCTTTAAAACTTATAAGTTAATATTTAAACTAATAAAACTATGTATAGCACCATATTTTAAATCATAATATTGTAAGTTCTACATTTTTGTTGTAAATGGATGCTTGATTTTTGTATGATGTAAATACTTAAATCCATTAAATCTTGTTATACTTTTGATACTCATATTTTTAATAGATTTATTACTCATTTAATTTGTCTTGAATCTAAAAAAAAAAAAATATTAAAAATATATTATGCAAATGTAATTTAAATCTATGTATTTCTGAAAAACATTTCAAAGCAATGGAAAACTGCAAAAATATATAAAATAAAAATCTGTGTCAACAAGTCAGTACTTTAATGTAAATAAGCATATTTCTACCTAACCGAACATAAATAACAATTTTTAACAGTTTTTAACATATTCGCTTTTTCCATTTTATGATAATTTATCAACATTTTTTATTGGTATATTTAAGAAAAGCATTTATTTGTACTGATATCCTGATTTTTAGAACAATCTATTAGCAAAACAATTACAGACAAAAATACCATAAGATTAAAAAATTGCATATGTAGGTATCTGGAAAAACTATGAACTAATAAATATAATAACAATTAGAGATACATTTCAACAACAAATTCCATAGGAGCATTGCACTTTTAACTCTCACTGCTTAATTAGGTACACATAAAATATGACTTTATTACATCAGCCAATGAGGAATGTTTATTCAGTCAGTATGAAATCATATAGTCATAACCAAAATGTTGCCAATTTACATGATAAAATCTTCAATAAATTTTTTTAAATAATACTTAGTTTCAGCGAATAGATAATACAACTGTGTTCATTGTTTTTAATATTTAATTCTGCGATACTAAGAAAATTTGATTTATTAATTTTTGTTAAGTGATGATAACATATTTTATACAAATTAATTAATAAAATCTATTCTCTATAATGAAGCATTAAGAGTATATCAAAAAGATTAGAAATAGAGCATATCTATAATCCTGTTGCACGTGTATTAAATAACGTGTATTAGAAAATCACGTTTCCAATCCTCTTAAATATTAAATAAATACATGTCATTATGAATTAATATACTCACCATTATTTATAAATGCAATCCTCAATTTGTTGCTGCTGTGTGTCATGTTCACGTTGATTCTGTTGATCAACTTTCACTTCTACAATATCAGTAGGAATATTATTTGCAGCATCATACTTTTCAACAGTATAGTCAGCACTATATATACATTCTTCAATTTGGGTCTGACCACTTATTGGTTCCAATTCTTGTGATGGTGGCGTAACAGTATGTGCTGCAGCTGCATCACTCTGTTGTCTAGCATACTTCTCGTGTATATTTCTGTGTCGTTTTAATGCAAATCGATCACTAAAACCAACTCCACAAATGTCACAACGATGTGGTTTTTCACCTGTGTGAACTTTAGCATGATTTTTTAGATGTGTGGCTTGATTAAATGCTGACCCACAGATATCACAACGATAAGGCTTTTCTCCTGTATGAATACGACGATGATTCCATAATGTAGAATGGCGAGCAAAAGTTTTATCACAAACTTCACATTGATAAGGTCGTTCACCACTGTGAATTCTTTCATGATTTTTAAGATGAGGAGACTGAGAAAATTGCATTCCACAAACACCGCATTTAAAAGGTTTTTCACCTGTATGCACTCGACCATGATTTTTTAAATAAGCTGCTTTTGCAAATGATAAACCACAAATTTCACACTTATAAGGCTTATCACCAGTATGCAGACGTTTATGACTCCATAATGATGAATAACGTGAAAAACTTCCTCCACATATATTACAATGGAAAGGTTTGTTAGGAGTATTTGAATTATTAATTGAATCATTTTTCATATTTACATTTGCATGGTTACCATTAACTAAAAAAATAATACCAGAACCGTTACATTTATAACATTTGGTGACTGTTGCCATTCCTCTTTTTTTCACTGGATAATAACCTTTCATTATTGCAGTCTGCTCAGGCGATAAATTGTCATTAGATTCTATTTCATTTTCTTGAGGTGTGTAATTGGGACAATTTCCACCACTACAACTTACACATTTTATAAATCTAGACTTTTTACCTTTAACTGTCTGTGGAGCAACATCAGCACCACATGAAAAACACTGTTTGTGAACAGTTGATCGATGGACTTTCATATCTCTTACTTGAGGAAAGCAAGAACCACATGTCGAACAAGTAAATGATGGTGGTTCTTGTGGATGGGCAGATTTTTTATGATGATCAAGCATTGATGCATGGGTAAATCCAGCACCACAAACATCACATTTAAAAGCTGCACCAGCTGTTGTGAGGGACATTTGATTTACTAAAGCATAGTTATAATTGAAGGGTGCTGTCACATCAAAACGGTAAGAGGTCTTATCAGTTTGAGTTACTCCATTAGCTGAAGCTGCAGCAAGAACAGCTATATTACCAGATACAGGAACTTTCTGTACCATATTTACGTTGTAAAATGGAAAATCAACAGAAGATGCTTTATCATCTTTTTTGACAATAGTGGCATATAGCTGACCCGTTACTGGGTTTTGTTCTTGCCGAATGCCTGGATCATACATAATGGTTGTAACTACCTCGTCCTTATTGCTACTCATACAGCTACTATCTACAAATAAAAACATATAGTATTATATGTTTGTATTCCTTAATAGACTATTTAAAATAATAAAATATTTTATGTAATAACTAAGTAAATACACTTTAAATAGATTAAATACTACATAGTAACATTTTGAAACAGCTATTGATATGATATATAATTTTATATAGACTATGGGTAACTAATTACTAATTAAGTAATTATAAAATCCTTAAATATATCTGGATCTTATGCACCATATCAATGCTTATCTTGCTACAAAAATTGTCAAGACAACGTGTCATACATAATAATTAATAACATAGTACATCGTTGATTATTAAATCATACTTAATTTATATAATTATAAATCTCAAAATGTCTGACTAATAATATATTAATTCATAAACATTTTTGGATAATATTTAAATAAGTTTATTTATAAAAATACTGATATAGAATAAATTAAATGAACATTGTACATGTATAATTCTAATTACTACAATTAAGTTCAGTAAAACTAAATTTCTTTGTACTTTCATATGACAGTTATCTAGATAATATTTTAATAACAATAGTTACTTGATTTAATGTTTTTGTTTGCATAGAAATATATTTTTAATTATATTAAATTATTGGTGAATGAATGTTTAATTTTAAATGTGTATAACATGTAAATAATATACTAGTTACATAATTAATGGCCTTGATAGATTTGATTTGCCAGTTGATTTTAAAGAATTTATTGATAGATATTATGTAGAGTAAATTATCCTATAAATTAAAATTTTAAAATTGTTCTATTATATTTATATAGTTATGTATATAGTTTTATAAGTTTCTATAATTTTTATGAAGTATATCTAAAAAAACTTAAATCTAATAAAATTATTATTTACTTTAACAAATTAAACAATTGACCATAAAATAAAAATATACATGTATCTTTTAATTAAAAATTACAATAGTTAAATTGGTTTATATCAAATATCTATGAATGTTAGATGTAATAAATTAAACTTAAGACAATTAAGTGATAACATTTAAATAAAAAAAAATATTTATTATGTTTACCTTTATGTATAGGGTATTTGTCAGGACTTTATTTTGTTGCTGTTCATTGAAACTTTTTTATAACAAGCCTATAACAAATTATATCAATCTTTACAATTTACATTGTAGAAGCTATCAACACTATACATTTTTAATATGATTAACTTACCTAGGTCAACTTAAAAATAATGTTTCTTCAGGAATTCCATCATAAGAGTACTATATAATATGTATAATAATTTACATAATATCTGATCTAATTCACACTTTATTAAATTGAAAATTATTAACTTTGAAATAAACAAATTGTATAAAATGTGATTATTTTACATGGTTTAACCATTTATTTTATATTTAGTAAGCGAATTTTGGTGTTACAAACTGCAGCATGAGGAAAACATTTAACAAAACTAATAGCTTAAAATAAAAGCAAAGTAATATAAATTAAAATCAAATATGTGGAGCACTCGAAAATTAAAAAATTAAAACAATTAACATTTAACAAACAAAAAAACAAGTGGAATTTCGGATCAACAATTTTTTTGTCAATTTTTGTTTTGGTTTGATACGGCATGGAGGATATAATACATCATGGAAAGATAACCAACATATTATTATATTACACCATGAAAAAATAAAACGGACTTTCCGCCGTTACTTATCATTATTTTACTATTTTACTATTACAATAAAATTGTAATATTCGAAATATTCATTATTCACATTATTATATTTTTAGATATCCGATTCAAATGTAAAAATTAATAAATATATGTTCTATGTATACAAAATATCATCATTATCATCATTCGTCACAGATTATGACATCATTTAATATGTAAGAACAAACAAAAGATCCACTACAACAGTCTATAGTGTATACACAGACATCTTCGATAGTGCAGTCAAATGTCTGTATAGTCGCATACAAAAATTACAAACTCTTACGTACTAATATTGGCAGACAACAGTTTCTACTTGTAAATTATTATTTATTATTAAAATACTTGTAGATTACCGCAATTATTTACATATATGTATTTATATAGATAATCGTGATTTCTATATGTGCTGAATCTCCTAATCTTGGTAAGTTTTTATTGAAATCACATCTATTATATAAATCAGTGAAGTTTTCACTCTAAAACTCAAATAATAAATATTATTTTATCATTTTTTTTATCTTAGTGTGTCGGAAGAAGTAAAAATTAATTTATTTGATTAATTTGTTAGTTAATAATTTAGTATAGGCATAATATTATATTCTATTTTGTGGTGTTTGTCGAAACACGTATTTTGTACTTTGGTTATACAATTTGTTCATAACTATATTCCCGAATGAAATCTATTACTGTACCAAGTGTATCAGTGTGTTTGCATACAAAAAAAAAAGTAACTGGTGCCGATTTTGTCAATTTTCGAAAACAATTAATTTTGTATTTTATATTATTATCTATTGCTTATGTTATGTGTGTTTTTATCGTAAAAGTAATAAAATGAACAAACGTCACGCAAGTTGAAAGAAAATCCATTGGTAACTTATTAAAATAAAAATCCCAATTGTTATCATATTATGTAGAACTCTAGGTATAACTAGGTACCTATCAGTGGCGGCTCGTGTGCTTTGAAAGTGGGAGGGCGATATAAAATTGCTTATTTATGGAAAGTAGGTATCGAGCACAAATAATATTAATAATGGTTGTTTAATAAAATTTTTATGTGTGGATGAATCCATGATTAAAATCTTAATAATTCCAGTAAATATTTTTGGAAAAAAATATCGAATTGAAATAATTGATTGCGAGTTATGACTGCACAAAGTAAATAATAAATATACGCAAGTCCGGAATCCATGTATATCGGGCGATTAAAATCATCGCCCCGGCGGCAGTATTATTATTGTGTTCCCCCTTCTTAGTTTTTGTATTCCGATCATAGTTATGACGAGCGACTTTTAACATCGCCCAAGCATGGCATGCGCTACTCGCGGATATTGGTAAATCGTTATCGGTTATCGATTTTCAGAAGCTACAGTGTTGAATGATTTATTTTTAAACACCATTATCTGATAATGTTTTCATAATACTTAATAATATAAATATTATAGAAAACACAATTTTTATTTTTGATAAAATTATACTACAATATAAAATTAAAAATTGATAATAAACTTATAAATTTGTAATAAATGATAATTTTAGAAGGGGGGCGATCGCCCCATCGCCCCTATCTACGAGCCGCCACTGGTACCTATATTCAAAATTCAAAATAACGAAAATATTTCAAAAAATAATTTAATTTATTAAATTCTGAAGTAATTAATAATTATAGTCAATAAATTAATCATAACATAGTTTCCTAATATTTTAACTAAATATAATGAAAAATTGCAAATGTTATCATCTGTATAATAAATTTGTTTAATTTATCAACCTTTTGATTTGAAATATTTTATAGAAGTATGTGTCCATTGTGTCCTACGATAAAAGAACTATTTAACTGGATAATTATTTATTTTATTTTTCATTTTTTAATACTTTATAACATAGGTAGCCCACTTGCGGCTCGCGAGCCGCAAGTGGCTCTGGTTATTGTCAGATGCGGCTTGCATCTTATTTACAATATCAAAATTTACTAAACATAATTATAAATTTTAATTTTTAGGCATTATCTTTTAAAAAATTATCAAATTATATAAACATTTTACCTCTTGGTATCATTGTATTTATCTATGTGGCTCGCGAAACTATTCATGTTGGCCACCCCTGCTTTATAATCTAATACATCTAGTCAAACTTAAAATACCTTCAAGAAATTAAGATTTAAAAAAAATTACACATATTGTAATAAAAATAAAAATATTGTTAAATTTAAAAGATTATTATAAAAGTAAATTAGTTTACAAAGTTTCTTTTAATAAAAAAAAAAAAAGTAAATTAATTTATTTTCGATATTTATTTCAAATATTAACCACGGTTAAATAATTCTTTAATAGATATTTGATTTTTGATTTTCGATTCTGAGTCGAATAATAAATGTATTGATTTTATAATGATGTGTTCTTTTGTTTGTTTTTGTGTGTTTATATACACGATAAGTCAGTGGCGTATCCACTGAGGGGTGCTTAGGATCATAACTCCTCCATGAACCTGAGTTGGTAAATTAACACGGTTTTTTCTTGAACATTTTAGAATTTTAGAATTTTAACTTGTAAATTATATTAAAATTTTCAAAAAGTTTCTACATATGTAATATTTTTACGATAAAAATAAATAACCGATACCATGAAGTAAAGTGCGATAAGTTAAAATTTGCTGAATAATTATAGTATAGTTGTGTAAGCAATATGTTTTATTTTATTTATTGTAAGCGACTGCGTCGCCAAGACAAAAAGACAGAATAAGTTGTAGTCAGTCGTGTATAAGTAACCAATTCATACAATATTATATCTTGAAATATTCTTTATAATTAATTTAAGTAATAAATGTTTTAAAGATATACAGATTTTCGCGTAATGTTTGAATTCAACCCATAAGTAACGAACTCTTTTTTTATAATAATTATATACTCTTCAGCCTTAATACTGACTGAACAAGTATATTATAAAAATTTGAAGTTAGAATTTTGACGAAATTCAGTAGAATCGCAAAAAATTGATAACTATTTTGTTAGAAGTACATAAAACTTTTTTGTTTTAATTTTAAGTTTTGAAAAATGAATACAACATTTTTATGATTAGTTCATACTGAAACCATAAAATCTAAAAAAATGTATGAGAAAAATTATTGTTCATAGACAATTTAAATTCAAATTTACTAGTATTTTTAATATATACAAGTATTTATTAGTTTAGTTATTGATAATTCAAATATTTGTTAGTTTTCTTTTTGGGATTGGGGCTGGTGAATGTTTTTACAGCCTCCTACGTTATTCTAGTTTTCATAGTACAATTAACATAATAAATATTGTATTTAATATTAGATTTTTAAACGATTGTAGTTGAGAAAGAAAAGAACGAGTATTAGATACTGCATTATATTAATGTAAATACTTATCTTAGTTTTAGTGGTTAAGGGCAAATCGGCATCGATGTTTACTTGCCTCGCTTTGTAAACTAGTTCGACGAGATGAGAAAATCGCCTTTAGCATCTATAAGTATATTTTCGATGTGATTCAAATTACTTTAAGAAAAACATCTAAAATTTTTATAAAAATTGGACGAATGATTTTTAAGTTTATACTCTATAGTTTATAAGTTGCGTATGATCATTGTCTTTTGTTGTTAATTTAAATAACAAACAATTGGTTAAAAATAATTTTCTTTTAAAAAAAAAATAAAATAAAAAATCTATTAAAACATTTAAAACGCAAACAAATCGGCTAATTATACCATTTTTTTTTTTTTTTTAATTTGATTTCTGTAACAAATGGCAACACAATATACGAATAAAAAAATTATTTAATTTTCTTGAATTAAAACGGAAATTTATGCGTGTAAACACCTTGTATAAACAAGTAGCAACCTATAACGGTTGAAAAAATTCTCTTTCTCCGAGTCTCAAGGAATATGTGTGCAAAGTTTGGTATCCAATTGATTCAGTAATTTCTAAGTTTATAAGCTTTACAAACGAATGTTCATTTTTCTTTTTTTTTTTTTACAAATTGTTGGTTCAATAATTATTTAAAATATTTATGATACTTGATCATTATATTTGTATAAACAATTGAAAACGAATTCATGAAAATTCACAAACTATTTTTAAGTAAAAAATATATAAAATGTTCAATTTTTTGTTTAAGACTTTACACGTCATGTTACAGTGACATTCTTCAGATCAATTATGTACAATAATTCAATTGCTAATATTTTGTTTTATTCACATAATCACACTGTTCTATGAAAAGTTAATATTGACTAATAAAATAAAAAATAACTTACTATAGTAAAATTATTATTAATGTATAATAAAATAATAAACATAGTATAAGATAAGCTAATAAACTGCCTTAGTCCAGAATCGTTTTTCATTCTGAATGATGTATAATTAAATTATAATTTAACACATGTCATATCCATTATAGTTATCTAAATTACTAGTTATACTCTTGATTCCTGTACTGCAAAACGTGCAAAGCAGTGACTTCCTTAAAAAGAGAAGGTTATTAATATGTTTCTTTAGAAATATTTTTATATTTTCAGAATTTTAATTTAATATAAAAATGTTTATAATATGCATGTACAGTTCATTGATTTATCATTTTATGCATTTAATAGCATTAAAATATATAAATATATATATTCATTTAAATTAATTTTTTGTGTTAAATATGTAAGTATTCAATAATTGAGTTATTAATCAATGATAGTATATATTATTATAAAATATAAATTTAATTGCACAATTGCATGTACCTACTTATCTTAACAAATATTAAAACAAACATCTGATAAAAAGTATTCCTAGATATTTTTATGTATTACTTGGAGAGAGGTGTTGATATATGAAAATATGCGTATTAATGCTTACTAACTAAGTGCTTAAGAATATTAAAAACATAATAATATGTACTGTATTTTTTAAAGATGTTACAATATGCGTAATATTGAAAATTTTCCAAGTATGCAATTTTATAGGTATTAATTGATTAGGTTTTGTTTCAAATTGTATATTATTTAACTTTTATCCATTAGTTAATTTTTTTTTTTTTTTGGGGTGGGGTTTATTATTTTTGTTATCCAATAAAGCTCCACGAGAGCACTGATTGATTCAGATAAAGTGTTACATGATACAATAAGAAGTAACGATAACGATCGACGACTGTTTTCTACAAAAATCAAATGTTAGCTGATATAGATGTATTTGTTTTAAATAGTTGGCCTGAAAATGTTAATATTCAGTATGGCGATGATAGGCTAGTATTATAAAACATCAACTATTAATATACGTTCTAGAGTTGCACGGCACTTATTACCGGTCAATAAGTTGCATTTATATATTTATATGACAATGTTCAAAGGTTTCTTTTTCTCCTTTTTCGTCTAAATTTATTTGTAAACGTTAATAAAATATCACGTGTATTTAGTTGTTATATTACTGATTTAATTTCATTGTTTTTCGTTTTATTCTGTTTAACACTTCATTTGTATGATAAACCTACGTCCTAATAGTATTATATTACAATGAGTGATAGCGATGGAACTTCAGTATCAGAAAACAATAGAAATTTATTATCTCCTGATTCCCCATCGCCATTTCGATGATCAATTAATGATAATTTTTTTTAAATTTTTTATCTAAAAAACCATGCGCATCTCAAAATAAATCGATGATTCAATGCGTAAAATGTAAACCAAAAATTGTAGTATTGAAAGGTTATGGAAAATCGTCTTCTAACTTGTTACTCATTTAAAATGTTAATATGGTCTTGATACTGGTGAAAAGTATAAAAATCGTTTGAGATTAATTGGACCACTAAATAAAAAAATAAACACTTAAGTTAAGCAATTAAAAATTAAAGCAACAACAAATACAATTTAAATATATATTTATCTAATGCTGAACTTCATTTTAAGCTGGCGATCTCTGTTATGTTACTTGATTGTTATGTTTACTTGTTGATACTTATTACGAAAAAAAATAATATTGAAATTATAGTAGAAGACTTAAGATGAACAATTTGTTTGTATTACTGTAAATTATTGGTCTGGGAAAAAAAGGAGTTTTCTATAAGTAACGGGTCAGTGAATTACAAAGGCAAGTATACAAAAGCTTTAGCGTGTCGTCGTTTTAAAGGAAGTATACTATTATGATGAATTTTCTGATTTTATTAATGAGATACAGTTTGTATTCAACTTGAACATTACTCAAATAATTATCGCATCAGTTTGTAATAATGGAAGTAATTTTATTAAAGCGTTCAAAATGTTTGAAGTAAAGAGAATATAAATATAATTGCTAATGATAAGAAAAATTCGATTGATAATGATGATACCTCAGACTTTTCAGAGTTTAATACTTAGAATTAAACGAGAGTAATTAATTTTAAAATAATGTAGTTCATAGAAGCCATAGGACAGAAATAGAAAATATATTGCCAACGAATTTTAGATGTTTCGCACATACACTTAATTTATATGTAGCTGCACTACTGCAGATATAAATAAAGTTATAAATAACTCTGTTGAATTGTCATTGGTACGCGTTTCAGTAATTAATAAATGTAATGTACTAACCTAAATCTGGGCGGACAAAATCGGCCGGTCATACAAAATATACTAGGAAATACTCAAATATTAATATCAAAAAATATTAAATGTAAAAATAAATATTTAAAATTTAAATAATATTTTAGAAATAAATAAAAAGAATGGTTTGAGGGAACAAGATTTTGATTATATTGAAGAGCAAGCATTGTACTCAGCGCCAATGGCTGAAGCACTGGATATAATATAAGGTGAAATAAATATAATACAACTTGTTATGGCGTAGTAGTGTAGTACTATTATGTATTCTAGCATAGGGTGACCAATGACCATACGTTGTTTTATATAGGATTGTCCTTTATTTAAACTTTTTGTCCTGTTATTTTGGCAATCTTCTTACAGGATGCTTTTTGTCTCATATTTTCAAGTCTATACCGTATTAATCCCGTTTTTTCCTTTACTTACTGTTATAATTTATAACTTTTGAAATTGATTTTATTCAAAAATCGTTTTTTTTTTTTTTTACTAAATTTTTGTATGTTATTATTAAATAGAATAATATAAAAATCTACACCTTTCAGTAGTATTTTTGGATTCTTATTTTTACCATAATTATCGCTGAATCTCATTGTTGACGACGTAAACCGTATCTACGTATCATAGTATGTATACATATTTACCCACTAGCACCATGTCCGGCCGCAACTTGTTCCTAATAAAATGTTTACTATTATAATTATTATTTTATTATTTATAAGTAAATATTTTATTACTCTAAGTATAGCCCAATAATAACAGCTTCATTTTGAGCACCATCGTCGTCTGGGCATTTTATAATCGATATATTGTTACTAAGTATTGAGAAAAGATTTGAAAATTATTTAGATTTTTTTTCTCCTGAATATCTTAATGCTTCAATAGCAACATTCTAATAATTGTGTTTTAAAAAACGTTAGTTGACATGTGTAAAAACAGAATATCACGATAGGCTCATTCATATTTTCAAAAAATCAGCAGGTGTTTATTGCACAAAACACACCATTATATTTAGTGAAATCACTTTGGATCTTCTTCGGTATTAAATGGTATAAAAAAATCAGAATTGGAAGTTTTACATTTCTTTGTAGATGTAGAAAACGATTTCAATAATTTCGACGAGTATCCTATCATTTCATAAGGTTTTATTTGATACAATACTCAACTTCTATAGTCAGCACCTATAGAAAGACCTTTTATTTGCAACTATGATAAATTAATCAAGTAATCATACATTATTAGATCACCATTTGAAAAATGTGTTAGTTTTTTAAATACCTATCGAAAATCTTAAGAGATATTTTTGTTGAACGGCGCGTCATGGCGATTTATTTTTAAACGTAGAGAGCGGCGATCGAACAATAGATCCGCCAACCGCCACTATCTTATCTAATTCTACTTTTAAGATTTTCAATATTTAAAAAACTAAAGTTATAGTATTGAAATTTTGATGCCTTTATAGTCTTAAACATAATATTAAACTACACGTTTATACATAAATTAAATTTCAAAAAAATCATTGTGTGAAAGAACTTTTCATGTATAAGATAGGTAATCACGACGATCTGGGTGACTGGGTCCAAGACGTCACACATTTTTTTCAATATTACTCATAAAGTCTTAACTTATTAAATAATGTGAGTAGAAACATAAAACCTATACCATTATTATTTATTCTTAAAATTGAAGATTCTTTCAGATTAAGAAAATTATTTTCTGTGTTTTTTACTCCTTTAAATGTGAGTTATACGAGTTTTTTGTCTTCATGGTCTGTTATATTTAGAGGCCGTCATCTGACAAACACGTATAATCTGTTTTCTCAATAGGTTTTTCCAAATTTAATTTTAAGTGAGAATTTTTTTTTTTATTTTGCACACATTATTTGAAGATATTGTAAAATATTTTCTATTGGTAACTAGGATAATAATCTCGCCTTTAAGATTGATAGGAATAATGACTAAGGGTTACTATGCTCAATTAGAACCGTCAAAAATTACAAATTCGCCTTATAGGTACGTTTGTAAAACTGAGACAAAGTAGATTACAATAGTTGTTCAGCTTTTACGAAAATCTATTTAATCGATAACTTATAGGTTTAACTAAAATAAATTCATCTGAATCCGGTAAATATCCGTATTAATAAAAACAAACATTGTTTACACCGTTGTTCATCACTTAATATCTATCGAATCATTTGTTGAAATATCATCGATGCGCGGCAGAGTATGGCGTTATTTGAATGATTTTTTTACTTTTATTCGAATAAACAATTTTTTTAAACATGGTTAACAATTTAAAAAAATAAAACACGTGTTAAAAACAATAACTGGCATTTTATTGTAAGTTACACGATTATAAATCGTATATTTTATTCGGAATAAATCCTAAAATAAATATTATAGATAATAATAATTAAACAATATTATAAAGTACATGTTTTGTACTAGTATTATGTTTTAAAATTATTCAAATAATTATGAAAAAATAAAAATAAATGATTTCAATTATAAACTTATTTATTCAAATAAAATAACCGAAAATTATTCGAATAATTATAAAAAAAAATCATTCCAATAATTATCTAGATAAAATTTTGCCATACTCTGACGCGTGGCTTATTTAAATATGGCCGACGATGTGTCATCGCGGTATCGTAAGCAATAAGCACTGAGCAGTAAGCAGTGATCACCCAACTCCCAAGTGGAAGCACGTGAGTAGGTACTGAGTAAGCGAGCTTAGCGATTGTGGGTGAACACTGAACAGTGAACATTGAACAATTGAACTGGTAGGAGACTAGGAGTGTAGGACGTTTTACAATCATTAAATCAGTTCACATTATCTCCGCCAACTGAGAAGTGAGCGCTCTCATCACTTATCGATCACTGAGCACTTGTGCTATCCCCACTCCCAACAAAATATCGCTACACCCACACGAACAACTCTGATGCGCATATAATTCCTCAGCAGAACTTGTCGACTTAATTCAGTTGTGGGTTAAATAGCATTTTACCGCTACTCTGTGCTCAGATCGCGGTGCTCACTGGCCACTGCTCAGTCGCTCAGTGGTAACTTGCACTCGTGCGGCTCGTGTGCTATGTCGCTGTTCCGTCACGATAGTCACGCGCACGTTATCAAATATCAATGCGTTTTTTCGTTCCACTGATAATATGAATATAATATTTTAAGTTTAACTTGTCGTTTGTTTTTAATGTCGATCGAGATATCAAGATTCAGTCTTAACATTTCAAGTAGGTAAGAATTATTTCAAATTTTAAACGAATTACGTTCTTCTAATAGTATTATGTAAAACATTCATATTATTTATACATTATTTTGGTCCGGCATCAATTTAGTTGTAAAACTCTTACGGTCTTAATGGTATAATGTATCGTCGTTGACACAAAAACGTTTTTAAATTTCCAAACTATCAATGATAAACGAAAATATATTTTATAATAATTGTTGAACTAAATGATTGCTTATTCCCAAATAAATGGAAGTAAAAAACTCAATAGTTATGGATTTATTGTATAATTTGACAATATTTTATCACATAAGTGGTTTTGTTAGTTCATTTTTTTTTTTCAAAATTACATTGGAGATTATCATTGTCACATAAAAGTTTTTTCAATATTACATAGGACGCTTTCTAATGGCAATTAATGTCGCATAGGATGAAAGTATTTTGTTGATCAACTAAGACTACTTTGTCATTTTTATTTTAAGAACAAATTACAGTGAAAATATAACTGTTATATAAAACAAAAATGTTTGTTTAAAGCGTTTTAACTATCAATATGTCTAAAGTATTATGTTATAATTAAGTAACAATTAATAGTAATTGGTAATATCCCTTATTTTGATTATAAAAAGTTAATATACCTAATATAGGTTAAAAGCATTTATTGAATATCAAATCACTAATTAATATATAAGTTTAATTTAGTATCAATTGTTATTAATATTTTAAATGTAATTATTATCAACTTAAAAAATCTCTTATGTGCTAAATTTTATAATATACTACACGTCTACACTATATTCTAACATTGCATACAATACCTTCTATAGTCCTATATAATTTTGACTGAATTTGTAATCATATAGGTGATATTTTACAATTGATTCGTAGTAGGTAGCACATGAGAGGTTTAATTTTTAATTTTTATTAGTTCTCTTGTGGAAGTAATTGGAGATTTTTTCATAGTGACAGCCTATTTTTTCTAAATCTTGAGATATCATAATTTAAAAATTGTAAATTAGTTACAGATTTTTTTTTTTGTGTCAACAATAATGTAGAGCATTTAGTTATTTTTATAATATTATGTGATTATATTCATGACTTTATAAAAAACTATGTGATTTATTTAAACATATTTAATCATAAGTTAGAATAAAATGTATTTCTTTATTTACAACTGATAAGTGACATAAAAATCCATTAGTAACAATCAATTGATTTGTAAAGACTGGTTATCAGTTTGTCCTATCCAATCAAGCTATATTGCTTAAAAAATCTATAATTTATATTGATTCATAACATTATTTTATTAAATGTATTAGTTCTAATCTAATTTATTATTTGATGTAGTTATCCATTAGCCAGATGTGCTAGTTATTAGTTATTTATTTATTTTTTAGAAGCGACTAGTGGTTAAACTCAGTCAATATAAACCAAGGTTCTTAATATCTATTTAATAACTGCCATTATTATTTGAAAAATTATTTTTTGGTATTAAAAACCTATGTGCAAATTTTGGCTAAATGAGGTATTGATATTACAGAATTTAGTAAAAAAACATTACGTCCAATGAAATAGAAACCTATGTATTCTATCTATTTCTGTTGTAAAAATTATGAAAAATAAATCCTTTTTACATTTTTATATCCTCTATAAGTTGTTCAAACTACTAAAATATTTTTCAAATATTTTTGGAAAAACAGATTTTTACGCTTAATTGTGGTATTTGTTTTCTTTTTAATTAAGGATTTCTTCTCTGTCCCTTTTATATTTGTATTTAAATAATCAAAGAAATATTGTTTTTTCTTAAAACATAAATACATAATTGCTTTAATATTTTTAAAATTAATTATTTTTAAAGTAAGTTAATTATACATACATTATGCTTGCATATAAATATTAAGCAATTATTAGATTATCAAAAGTTAATAAAAATAATGTAACTTATTGAATTTAGTTACAATTAATAAACTCATAATAAATTAATTTATTATGGAAAAATATTGAATATTTAAAAAAAAATTCTTCACTATGATTTTTTTATGACTTATGAGTTATAATTGATATTAATTAAAATACAATATAAGTTTATAGTAAACTAAATTCTAATTTAATATAATTTTTACTTTAGAATTGAATCAATACAAAGTATTTTATTTTGTTGGATTGATATAATAATGAACATATTTATTGAAAAATTCTGTTTATTAAATCTTATTAATTCAATAAACTACTGTATAATTTTTTGGAATTATGTGTAATATTAGGTTTGCAAATTTTAGTCTTAATCCCTCAACTGAGCTAATGAACGTTAGTAATATATTGATGATACTTCTTTTGCTTGAATCAGTAATCTGTGTTTGATAAATATTGTTCGCTTGTAGCAATAATTTAAATTAATATGATATATGTAGTTGTAGTTATATGTTCAATTTGTATGATTCCTTATTTTTATTAAAAAGGTATACCAGTTAGTTGTTTTTTTTCTATCTTACACATGTAAAATATAGTAATTACCTCTCAATTTTACTCAATAAGATAATATTATTGAAATAAGGGAATAATGTATCATTACTTATTATAACAAATATAAAGAATATTATTATTAGTGTTTAATCAGAAACTCTTTAATATTTTAGTCCTTACATTTTTTAGTTCTTTTGGTAAAATTATTTAAAAAAAAAAAAAAAGCTTCCAACAAAACACAGATAACATTATGGGTATTTTGTATTTGTTATATTAGTAACTTCATTTAAAAAATTTAATTATTATTGACTTATTATAATAAGTAAAATTCAAAGAGAAGTATTAACTATATTATATATTATACATAAGTAGAAGAAAATAATTAAACTGGAGTACAATGTGTTGTCTCGGTGTTCAGTACAACAGATGTACATCATAGCAATTTTGTGTTTTTAGCTACAATTTAAAAATGAATTCGTTTTTTAGTAAAGTTAAAATATTGTTATTATTAAATATATTATTCTTATAATATTATCTATGCTTTCTCATTGATACTCTATAATAGTTTAATTTTTAAGTAAGTATAAGTATGTAAAATATGTTTGTACGTATATACTTATTTGCTTGACATTGATTTTGATCTATGTATCCATAAAGTAATTATTCAATAACATGATCATTATTTAGAGATTGATATCCTATATAGCTTAAATATTTAATTTTTTTTTTTTTTTTTTATTTTAATATGTAGGTAATATATTATAAATGATTGGTATTGTACATCTTTAGGTATTATAAAATATAAATATAATTCATATTTAAATTAATTAACAAACATGAATTTATTATATACACAAATTTTCATTTTCTAATTAAAAGAAACTTTATGATTAAAAATTATAAGGAATCTAATTATAACTACTTATTAACAAATTATTATAAAATTTATTGTATTAATAAAAATTTTATCTGGTTAATCTATTATTTTAAATTTTTGAATAGTCATATAATAAAATTAGATATTAAGTTATTTGATGTTGAAGTATTCAATATATGTTATGAGCATTTCAAAAATGTATCATGATTGTACGAGTCGAGATTTCTGTAATTTAGTCTTTTCCATCTTATATGTATTCCCTAATGGCCTAATTGCAGACAAAACAAAAACTTTATGAATTGTTCACATACATATAAGTGTAGTGACACATCCAAATAGTGGACATTTTTTCGGAAACTGGAACATTTTCACTGTTTATAGGAAAATCACCAATTAACAGGTACTTTTATTGCTAGATTTTGATGATTTTTATCTTAATTGTTATAGCTTATCTTATTCATCGTAGGTAATAACCGTCTCATTTGAAAACTGATTTTGTTTTAAATAATATTACATATAATTATACACATACTTACATACAAATAGTATAAATATGCATATATGTATCATGTTTTTGATATATTTTCATATCGTTTATTTTTTTTTTTTATTAACTCCTCCACAACCTCTAAATAGTAGACAACATTTTGATGACCGAAAGTGTCCGGTATTTAGAGGTTTCATTGTATGTAATTTACTAATTGTGGATAGATGTTCAATCTGTTTTTTTTTTTAGATTTCAGATGTCGAACAATTTTTCTTTGATATCGACAACTGGCATTATTGCTCACATAATATCTAACTATTCTATTAATGAATATTTTTTAACATTAAAATTTTACCAGTGCTTTTGGAGTAGGAGTCAAAAAATATTTTAAATTAGTTTAACGACATTTTTACTCATACCTGTAAAAATATCTCATCTTTATATAACATTAATGAATTTATAGAGAAAAACTCCCAAATTATTCCTCTTTTGCAAGATTCAAATGTTTTTAACTCCACTTACCAATAATTAACTTGATGCCCGCAATTAGTGTTTTGATAATGAATCCAGGGCCGGGCTGGGCAATCGAGATACCGGGAGTTTCCCGGTGGACCGCTTGTACTCATAGGGACTTTTTGTTTTTAGGTTTATCGGTTAAGGCATAATCGACACAATTACGCAAAAGAGCTCAAATATTAACAAATTGCTTAATATATTAATGTGTATTTTAGAGTCTAAGCATATGATTTTTAAATAAAAATCATAAAATTTCTTTGTACTAACCAATTTTTAATTTTTTTTAATTTTTAATAATGATTTTAAGAGTTTAAATTCTCAAAATAATATATTATCATTTTATATGAAAATATTTGTTTTTAGTAGTAATGTCGTATGTGAACTACCAAATAGGCGATTACCGGTTATTCTGAATTTCCGAATTTCCAAATTATCTTGATAATTTACGACTATTTATTTGTACGTTTATATGACTTCCCTTTTATAGTTCAACAATAATACGATATGATAAAATATGCGATAGCCTGACGTCCAGACACATCGCCGTCACCAATTCGCTACAATCGCCGTCTCTACTCGTTAGACTATAGTAATAATATTTCATTATGAGTTCAAGAATCGGACATTTTTATCGTACTATTATTTGTGACGAACAAACATGTGTG